GTCACACTGTGCACCTCCACCTGAGACAGAGAGACAGAAAGATAGAAAACACCTTAGCAGATGTACATAAAGGACAGAGTCACTGTTTTTCAAGTCGGGCATATGTGAATACTGAAATGTGTTTTTCTGGATGCACTCATGCCTAAGCTTTATTTCTGTTGTTCGGCACTTTGGTCAGCCTTGTGCGTTTTTAAAGTGCTGTATAAATAAACTATGATGATGAAGCTTCATAATGGTCCAAAAATGTTTGTGATGCCTCAAAGGCATTTATGTCATTTATCATTTATTTTTGCTTTAAAATAATCCATTTACATACATTTAAGTTATAAAGAACAGTAAAAAGGTTAAAAAAAAATGTTAAATGAGAAGACTTTATTTTGAAGGCCAACTTGCCAATAACCGCACTTCCTGCTGGGTTACCTGTATTGGTTGATTTTTCTGTTTATTGACTCTTCCTGGTTGCTCTGAGAGGGACAGTGACATGCTGGTTATGCTCTTAGGCTTACCCACAGCCAATCTTTGAAACATTGTTCAGGCATAATTGTATATATTTCATGACAAAGATGTTAAAAAAGCATAAATAACAGTAGTTGTTAAAAAAATACATTTTATTTGTAGCTCATAAAGGTTGATTTGTGCGTATTAAAAAGAGGCATTTGCTTTGATGATCATTACTGCTGCTCAAGTTAATACAAAGATGCAAAATCATATTTTGAGATATTTCATAATGCAGGATTTATGTAAATCAGATTAGTTTTTTACTTACTTGATTAGATAGTAATAAAATGTTGGCATGTTTACGATGCCTGTTTCACATTTTCATTGCCCAGTTATAGCTCCCACTTTTACCAGTAGCTGAGATTACAGTTATAAAGAGAACCGATTTCATCTTATTGGTGCGGCCCTCAACAACAGTCCCTGTTTCTCCCCGTTGGGAAAATTAATTGCCCAGCCCTGTTTTGAAAGTGTCTAAGTTAAATACATTTTCCAGTAAATAGGAGGAAACACGAACAGTGTTTGAAACCATGAAAAAGGGACACATGTTGACCAATCTTGAGCACATCTTTAATGACTGTTTTGCACATATTTTAATACAAGGAAACACTGAGACAGTCTCCAAGTACTTGACACTGTTGAGATTATTATGTATGCAGCACTATGAATGAAAGCTGTCTTGTGTTGGTTGCTGGTTATTGGTGCCTGCGGATTTGAATATTTATTTAAAAGAATTGCATTTTGATGATTTCAGCAGCTGGTACGGCTGTGTGGCCTCTTCTTAAACAGATTTAAAAAGGCCGGAAACAATGTAGTCTGTCACATGTCCGTCAATGAGGCCAGTCCCATTATTGTGAATGAACCAGCACGGAACATTTTCCCCGTTCTTCACATCGTTCCTGAAATCCCTCTGCCAGCCTCTGTTGACAGAGAGAGATGTTTCATTTAGAAGATTCACACTGCGAGAGCACAAACACAGCAACAACACATTTAAAATTCATTTTGCATGGAAACACTTCCAGACTGAAGTTTTTAGTGTACCTGGTTACATTGAGCTCCTGTCCTTTCACATACATGGTGGCATCTGGTTTCTCTGGGACTTTTCCTGGATGCAAGTGTGCCACCTCATAGTTAATCCCATGATAGAACTGACCTGAAGGATGGCAAACCATTTAAATTATAAAAATATTTGAATTTGGACCCTTTCCAACACTGGTGAGTTTAAATTATACCTAAATAATTTGAGTTTTGCTGTATTTGTTTTACTGATACAAGAGATTAGTGGTCCTATATTATTGTTAAATATTATTTATTAATAATTGCATAAACATAGAACATGGAAACATCTTAGAAAATATCAGTGATAAACCACAAATTTAGAGAAGAAATGTGTCACGTTGTACCTAGCAGGCCATGAACACCAGGGGACAGGAGGTGACTGTCCAGGGTGTAGAAACCCAAGTAGTCCCGGTGGTATGGGTGCTTCTTCCACACTTTGTGAAGCAAAATCACAAACTTAACTGAATCTCTTAGTGTTACTGTTAGGCTGCGATCCTTGGTCACAAGAAGATCCACACTGTAGGAGAAAGAATAAAAATCAATCATAAGAGCTTGAAAAGAAGGCAGCCTGACTTCTTTCAGTTTCATGGAAACGTTTCATCTCACATCTAAGAAACGTCTTTGATTCAAAAACCAAAAGGTGGAGAGTCCCAGGTATTTAAATCACAGTGAGGGTTGTGCCTTAGGAGGTGATCGTTGGTTCATGATTAATCATGCACAAAATCACATGAGCCAAAGTGTAAAAAAAACCAGTGGATCATTACCACCAGACCTTTTGAGAGAAACCACTGTGAGACCTTGCCTCACCTGTCATGTGGCATACTCGTAAGACTCCCTGGATGATGGAGAAACTACGTAGACCTTTTTTTTGCTGTGACTTTAACAATGTAATCACTCACTTGGATCCTTTAATGGAGGCCGCGTCAGACCAAAGCAGTTTGACCCATTTGCCGTCCTGGAACAGCGAGATGTCCTCAGTGCTCACCTCTAGCCTGACCCCAAGGGTCTGGTGGACAATGCCAAAACGCCAAAAATAGGTGTTTATTTTCCCATCAGGGGGAGTTTTCTTGTCTCCAATAATCTC